GGCTATAGCGAACGAAATGCGAGCAAATGGCGATTGAACCTAAATCCAGAAGGACAACAATGATTGCTTTCAAAGGAGTTCTTGGCATCTGAGCCAAGTTGGCAACATAAAAAATCTGCAACTGAAGCTTACACCTAATAAGTTACGGATAAGTGAGCATTTGACGAAACCATATAGATGACATGAATGGTTTCTACGGGCGAAACATAACCAAAAAGATTCCGAATGAATTAGCAAGAAACATTATTTTACGTATAAACTCCAGAGAAGAAACTTAGGTACAGTGGTCATCGTGAGACAAATACTGATCATTGATAATTGATGGAACGGGTAATAATCGCGAAGAAAGTTGAGGTCATTATCACAGCCAAGCAGGCTCCCGGTAGCAGCTGACCTGATGTGATAAGGTTTAAGTTTTATGTAGTAGATACCGATAAATGGCTCGGTACAAAAAGTTAACTACCTACCTAACGTGAGCTTTTCCCAAAGGCATCAACCAGTTGTTCTAGGGATCCTTACTGAAAAATGGATAAAAGTTTTGGAGATATCATTGGAATCAAAACACAAGTCACACATTCCTACTTATGGGTGCTCTTCAGAGTGATGTGGTATTCAGAAAAATAGAAACCCTAATACAGGTGGCTAATCACCACTTGCTAAAAATCGCATCAGGAAACAAAACCATTAGGTCGCAGAGACAATTTGGTGAGGTCCCAGCCACAGAGGGGGTAGGGGGAGAGGCAGCGGCAGTCGACCGGCCAGCAGCTGTCGTCCAGCGGAGGTCGTCGAGAACGAACCACCAGCCGCGCGCGTCGACCGCGCCTCGGTAACCATGGAAACCGAGCTGGAGATGCAAAAACAATCCTGCAGCTAGTTGATTCGACTGGCCCTGTCGCAGAAGCCAGTGTATAAAGCCAGTGATATTATCACCAACGACATCTGACGGATCGAGCTCCGGACATGAGCAATCAATTTGTGACCAAAGCGGATGACAAATCGTCCGTTTTCGGCGGGTATATAACCGGCTGAAATCGGACGGGTGCGGTCGTATAAAGTGACGAGATATGTCCCACGTTGAGCTGAAAGATCAGTCTGAAATGGCAGGATTTTTACTCGCAAATGGCTTTATGTGAACTGAATTACTTTCACACAGCGTTTGTAACCCCCAAAGGTAGAGATTGCATAACTTGCATGTGGTTAACCGTATTAACAGACCAAAACGAGTTTCGAAAATATCGTCTTCAGTAGGTCTTTTTTCAAAAAGATATACTCGAAACGCGTTTTGGTCTGTTAACCCGCGCACCGACGGGGGTCTGCGCCAACTTCGCACCGACGAGGGGGGCGGATGACCGCCCCCTGAGATCTCGAGAACGAAGCAAGATAGCGACAAGCGGTAAACGGCATCGGATACGCACGGCCAAGATCTACAATTTTTACTAAAGTCATTTTCAGGTCAGGTCAAAGATGACATCACAGGGGTCGAAAAAGTCAAAATGGCGGCGCTAGATATGGAGAGAGTTTTTCTCGAATAACTTTCGAATTAGTCAAGATAGGAACAAACTAAGGGCATCATCGTGATCCTCTCGTCAATCCGCATCGAATGATATATATGTTGACCTCGAAAGGTCAAGGTCAAAGGTTGACCTCAGGTCACGTGACCTCGAGGTCATCATGTATATCATTCGATGCGTCTTGACGAGCTGAACACAATGAGACCATCCACGCGTCTGTATCTTGTTCCTGTACGGAGTTATTGGCCAAAAACCTTTGGTGACCTTTGATGACGTCACATGACCTCACAGCTGCCCAACAGCAAAACAGACCTCAAGGTAGTGAAGGTTGATCGTATATGAAGTCATGTAAAGTATATGGGGCCATTCCGACCCGTTTTAGTGGTAAAAACAGGGAGTTGATTTTTCCCCCATTGACTTATAATGGGGAGGTCGCGAAATTGACCTGACCTTAGGTCACCGATATCAAAATTCCGAGATATACAAATTGTAGCTACTGATGACCTAATAACATCCTGCGACTTTCAAAGGCCTCCGACATCTACTGTAGCTGTGGCACGGTGACAAAGTTGCAAACAAGTGACTTGAGGTTGGGTCATTCAAAGTGACCTGGTGACCTGACCTTAAAAGGTAGGAAGTTCAAACTTGCACACCATGTGTAAAATTGATGAGGTTATAGTCATACCACATTTCGCGGCGCTACGCGCCGCGGTTTTCCCGCTATTCGCGAAAAACCTCAGGGGGGGCGGATATCCGCCCCCCCGTCGGTGCGCGGGTTAATACATAAATATAACTGAGGAATTAACTTTATACTACTACTTGTCAGTATGAATCCAAACATTTTGCATGTAGGCATAAAATGAATAAGGTTGCAATGAATGAAGAGCGCGACTATGCGCCAAAGACTGGCTTTAGGTATTTACCAATTGAATTATGCTAGGAGAAATAGGTACAAGTTTTTGGTGCGCATTAGCAAAGCTTTCGGGCATTAAAATATGCTGCTGAAAATGATCAAATATTTGCACTGGAATGCAATAAATATATAGTGGTGAGCCAAGAAGACAGCATTAACAGTATACACCCCAATACACCCTGTCAAGGCAAACGATACTCGATTATACATATGTGGCATTATCATCAATCAGTACGAAGAGAAGAATAGTTTTCAGTGTTATGAAAGGGAAGATATGAATCATTAAATGTGTGAGATGGTGATTTTGTCATTATGAATATATGTTTACATTAAAAAAGGATTAATAACATGACAGAAATATAAAACTATAAATTGTAAAATCGCTAAATATCGGAAAACGCTTTCACTTAACGGCATACCCATATTCATACAAAATGGTAAGACATAAAAGTTTTTTATGAGATAAAAGATGAAAAGAACTAAGATATAAAACATATCAACATTTTCTCCTTTTTCGATTCACTTATATTCCCTTAAACAGCTCAGAAAACTATTCCCTTGTATCTGAGATTGATGACAGTTATATTTATCTACTTATTTATAAACTATTTAGTCTATACAATATATACAGGTACACTTGGGAACTTGGTTTTTAAATGAAAATACTCGATTTTGTGACTTTCAATGCAACACATTTTCATTGAAATGCAAACCTTGCAACTTACGTTTAACACCATTATATGTATAAGCACATAGCGCAGTCATGGGTTCTTTAGCGGAGGTCTAGATAGCACTTAGCAGCGGATACTTTAATGTAGCAAGACAGTCCACACAATTCAGACCACACAGATGGGGAGGGAGGGAGGGAGGGAGGGGGCGGGGAGGGACGGTACCACGGGGTTGACGGTCGGTGTTCCTGCGCCGATGGTCTGGGGAGGGTCGTCTTTGGAAGGACTGCAAGAGTGACAAGGTCCGACGGGGGCTTCTCCTCGCATGTTGGCCACATAATAACAATAATGAGATGTGAAATAAGCTAAAAGCTTTAGGGACATACATACAATAAAACAGCGGAAAAATCAGCGTAGATGTTTAGATAGCGTGCATGAGGAAAATCTGCAAACAGCGATTCAAACAAGACGTATAGATCTGATTACGCCTGAGTGTACAAATTCGAGAATCAGAAAGAGATGAAAGGAAGCGACGAAAAGCGAGAAGAGAAAAATAATGAGGATATATGGTAAAATAGACATGCTAGGGTAAAAAAAAACACACAAGAGAGAGGACAGGGAGTGACGAGACAGACAGAGAGACCAAAGAACACATCCTAAGGAAGAAAAAACAGTTCTAAGGAAAAGGAATAGAAATCGATGGAGGTAAAAGTAAGTAACAACAATCAAGAGCAAAGGAACTAGAACGTTGCGGAAATGGTAAAAAGTTGCGACTAAGAAAGCATAGAATACGCAACTGAAACACATTGCTAAAGGCCAAGTGCTGGTGTGATCGCCTGGTGCCCACATTAAGCCAAGCATCAACAGCAATATTGAGTTCAGAAAAAGCGTAACAATGAATTACCAAGACATTTATGACTTTATACTTGCGAAAGTGGAAAAGTTTATCAAATTTTTGCTTATGACGATGGCGATTCAGTTGACCACTATTCATAGTGAAATAAAGATGCGGTGCCATTTGCGCCATTTTAAGAATATTAGCTAGAATGGATGACATGCTTAACTATACTAAGAATGTGACTAAATGTACCAAGCAAGACCAGTGACTAGAACGGAATCGACCCGTAACAATTGTGGTGACGATCTATCATAGGTTGGTTATCATGTACGCCCTCATTTCTAAGAAAAAATACATAAAATACATTACGATGCCCAACTTTGATTGAGTAAAAAAAAGTTCAGGCGAAAGCTATACAGCAAGCTCAATATGGGCATGACTCAAAGGCCTGCGGATACATTGAGTTGCATGACCAAGAAAAGGGGCGCCGAAGTTTGCAACAACGTAGTAGGCCAAACAAAAGTCCGTGAGCACCCCAAGTGAGTGGGGTTAGAAGTTAGAACATAAACGCAAGCCCATTCGTTTGATCTCCCTGCTATCACGGATAGAAAGGGACTCCGAGCCAGTTTAGTTATTAGCAATCCGAGGCACACGCTGGGCGGTGGAGCCAAATGTCTGGGGAGGCGTGCAGGTGATGGAAGGTCGGGGGAGTTTGAGCTGGCGGAACTGGTGAGCCCCGTCCCTACCCAGTCCACTGCCTGTTCAATGTTCATGCGCCTCAGCACCCTACGGCCATGCACGAGCTAAGCAACACTCGGCCAGAAAGCGAGCAGGCGGGAGGTAGGCCGTGCACCCACTGAGAGATTGAGAGCCACCGCGGCCGCGCCTGGCGTCGCGCCGGCGCCGGCAGGGTCGCAGGCTAGGTGGAGGACGAACACAGGTCGGCGCGGCGGCTCGGCTGCGGGCTGCCTAGGGGACTAGTGGCTGCTGCCTAAGGCGCGCCGCGGCGGTCACTGCCTAGCGCGCGGACTGCTCGGTCGCTGTGGCCAACATGCGGGGACTGCCCCCACCTTTTCTCGGTACTGTCTGCGCGACGAGTCCAAACTCTGAATGAGACTGGTGGCGTGCCCCAGGAACATGGCGTAGCACGTGGCGCCGCTGATCATGGACAGCATGGTAAGCCACATGTCCGTCAGCGACTGTGGCGGGAATCGGCCGTAACCTATACACAGCATGTGCGACATGGCCTTGAACAGGGCCCACGAGTACTGCTCCAGCCAATAGGCGCCCTGCAAGAGAGCAGAAAGGGACCGAGGTCAGCGGGACGTGGCGCCGGTGTACCTTGTCGCGGTAGTGGCGGCGAGATGAGTCCAGCGACTGGATCAGGTTGGTCGTGTGGCCGATGAAGAGCGCATAGCACGTGGCGCCGCAGATCATGGAGAGCATTGTGATCCACAGATCGGCCAGCGACTGCGGCGGGAATCGGCCGTAGCCAATACACAGCATGTGTGACATGGCCTTGAACAGGGCCCACGAGTACTGCTCAAACCAGTCAGATTCCTGGGAAGAGAGCGTGGTTACACAGTCAAACGACAGACGAAATGACTAATAAGCACAGTTTACAGGACGCAAGGCAAAAAAGACGATACATGGTAGAGTGAAATATGGTACGCTAGATATGATTGTGATATGTGAGATGTATGAATGCGATTCTAATTTTGTACACTGAACAATATATTATTTTTGTCAGCAGTGACACTGAATGCGTAAAGAGCAGCCTGCAATGCCTGAGTTTTTACACTGTACGATGCATTTTGCGCAACCTTTTGTTTGCGTTTCATCCGCAGAGGCGCGACAGCGATGCTGCGCCGCGCGCCGTGTAATTGTACGGTTCTGTCGCCAGATGTCTCTGCCATAGTCGCCTGAAGGCAGACTGTACCGCACGACACCAAAGCGCTGCGGTGCAGCATATATCCCCAGCCGCCTCTCCCGTGAATACCTTCTCAACCAAACATAACACATCAGGCGAACGGTTACTCCCTGTGCGCGGTCGGATCTGTGAATGGTTGGCCGACTCCCCGAGTCCCTCCGCTGAGTCTGTGGGTCATGCGGCGGAGACCATCATCTGATGACGTCTCCCTCCCCGGACAGTGCTCTCCGCTCTCCCCATCTCTGCCTCTCCGTGCCGGCGCGCGCCCGTTCGATATCGTCCAATGGCATGGCGGTGACATCTTGCCGTGGACAAAATGATATATTAATCTGGTTGGCGGTCGGCCAGGGCGGCCCGCTGCCGTCGCCCCTGGCCGAGACAGTCAGCAGAAGGTGGATCGCTGATGCGCCGGCCGGGCCGCCCCCTCCCCCTCCCCGTACCCCTCTCAGCTCGTCAGCAGTGTGGAGCTGCCGCCGGGCCGGGCGCCCAACGATCAGGGATCGCCCCTCCCCCCCCCCCCGCCTCGCCAGCGCCGTGATTCATGATCTGGCCACCACGTGAGATATTGATGTCCGCGGCGTGCGGCGAAGGCCGCGTTGTGTCGGATGGTTACGACAAGATACGACAGTGCTGGCCTGAATGGCATCAATTGGCGACTTTCTAAGACGCTATGTGCTGTAAATTAAGTCAGAAAGCAAATAATTAAATACAATACTTACTTTATATGGGTTCGAAATGTTCTGTTGAAACATTAAAAAACAACGCTCACGTTTGTGACAGCGATGAGCTTTTATGCTGACAATTTTTTAATAATAGCCAGGAATGCTGCATTAACCAGTTTTTCATATCTTCGCTAGAAACAATCAAGGAGCATTCACCGCATTCCAAGATCTTCTTGTCCCAAAAAGCAGACGCAAAAACTAAATAAGTTATATCTACCACCTTGCATCCGATCTATTTATCGCATAAAATACAGAGACAAAGTTAACTCGCCTTGTCACATAGTTCGCCGATATGCTTACACACAAATCAAACTTGATTATACACCGAAAGGGACTGTGTAAATATTTATGGCAACGGCAAGACATGGTATTGATTTGGGAGTCGCAGTGGCGGCGGTGGGGATCGTTGATCTTCAATTCTCCACTGTCAGCTATCTGGCCGAGACCGACTTCAGCGAGCACCCAAACACAGTCGCCGGTTTGGCCAGATGGAATCACACAGAACGAATGGGAGCGCGGCCTGTCGGGACGCCCCTGCTCACGATGTCGGACTGGTGCCCGTCGGCACCAGTTAGTACCCCACTGCCGTGTGACTGAGACGAGGGAACCGAGCAGAGGCGACAAGAATGTCTTTTGTAGGTATACAGAGGTCTATGATTGGTAGTATAAAAAGTGACGGTATTAGAAAATTACATAGTTGGTGCTAGCTTGATGAAGATAATCAGAGCAAAACAAGCGTTGACGCATGGTGCATACTCACAAATATCATGCTGTGTAGGTACTAACTAGGTATATCGTAAATATTATTCCGAAATGCAAAATAGCAAGAAACCTGGCTGGTGCACTTATCAACTACATGTTCAACGTTCTATTTCCTTTGATAAAGTAAGCAAATAAAATTATTACAGCAGATAATTACATTGCTTCTGAACACATAGCCCCTACATTCTCTGGTCTGGTTTCCAGTGGGAATGCAAAAACATCCTTTGCCTTTTCAAGTCCAGTTCTTGCATTAAATGGAAAACCAGTAGCCTTTAAAGGTCAAGGCATGCAACTGAAATACTTAAGCAGATTGCTAGGCGATTGACAATTCCTTGTAATCATAATATACTCAATCGACGTAAGACGTTCTTGTGGCATTATGGGGCCTGAAACCTGAACAGCTGAGGACAGCTATCAGGTAACGAGTTCCGTTATAAATCTTTTTATTCCTGGGGAGTGCCTGACTGCTCTTAAGCTAAATTCCCTGCAGAAATCGCGACCGAGTTTGAGACACATCTTTAATGTCCCTCAGCCCTCCTGTGTTTCAGTTGATGATACGAATCCTATTTTAATGCCACCTGCTGATCGACCGATGTATATTATTCAAGTCACCGCGAACTTTACACACGTTTGAAATCGGTCCGACACACTGATCTGTGTGCAGATCGATGCCGCCGGAGACAGTGGGGACGGGATGGGAGGGGAGGGGAGAGGTGGCCCTGCCCTGGATATAGGGATCGATCGTCCGTGCTTGTCTGTGGTTGCGGCGAGCAACTAACGCCACTCTGATGGATTTTCCATAATAGAATGAGGACAAGCATGGCACTAAAGAGAATGGTAGGATGCTAATCATGTTTCAATTAATAACAAAATACCTGCATAAAGCCGAAACACATGGTCTAATGGATAACATGATTTCAGCACATAAATTGAAGTACCTAAATTGCAAGTCTATTTACGTGAGTAGTGAGTACTTCATGCGTCAAAACTAAAATCCATATTATGTAACGCTTTTAACTTTACCACAAGAGACAAAGCTAGAGCAAAAAGCTGGGGACACGAATCCATTTTGTTAACCTCACCGAATTCCGTATCATTTGTCTTCTGCGTGCGACACGCGTGCAAAAGGCAGCGCCACAGTTCATTAACAAGCGCCATCCGTCAGCCGGGGATGGGCCGATTGCTGCCTGGTCGGCAGCTTTAATCAGGTGTCGGTATCAACTAACGAGCCGACCCGACATCGGACACCGCCGAGCCCGCCGCACCGTACGGGGCGCTGAGGGGGAGAGGGAGGGAGGGAGAGAGAGAGAGGGGGGAGGGAGGGAGGGAGGGAGGGAGAGAGGGAGGGAGGGAGGGAGCGAGAGAGAGAGATATAGAGAGATAGAGAGAGGGAGGGAGAGAGAGAAGGAGAGAGAGAGAGGGGGAGAGAGAGAGAGAGAGAGAGAGAGAGAGAGGGAGAGAGGAGAATTAGACAGAGGCAGAGGGAGGTTTTCATAGAAAGAAGGGATAACTGCTCGAGAACTCCGAGGGTGAGCCTCACGGGAGGAGGGAGAGCCGGAGGGCTTCCGACGCTGTGTCAGCCATTAATGAATGGAACGCCGCGTCGTTGGTCGGCGATTTCGTCGGTTAGCCGGGGATTCGGTCCGCTCTTGTGCGGCGGCAAAAAGGAGCTCGACGACTTATGGGCGACAGCAATCGGACGGCTATTCTCTTATTTCTATTCTCTCTTTGAAATCTTCGACTTTTAAGGGATCAATTTTGATGTTCTTCACAGAAGTTTAAAATGGATACATGAGGCAGAATGTAGAATGCGTACAACAAAACTAAACAGACATTCTCAATGAACACTAGTGACACCGGCGATATCCACACGTCGCTCATTGAGGAGGACCAGTCGGCGGTCCCGGCGACCCACTGTGGCGATCCGGCTCGTATTGAGCCATGACCGGACCGGCGGCCGACGCCCATGGTTCGACAGACAGCCGCCGACCTGGCACCAGCACGCTGGCAGCCGCCCAAGCCGCCCAAACAGGGAGACGGCCGCGGCTGCAGCGGCGCCCGCCCCCGCCCCCGCCCCCGCCCCCGCCCGGACCGGCGCAGCCTCTCCAGGCACGCAGCAAGTCCCAGCTTCTGCGCAGGGTCCGGCTCCGGCGCGGCGGCCGACCGATGGACGGATTACATTAGACGCGTCAAGGAGCCGCTGTCTGGGCGGCGGCGGTCCTTCGACGGTGTCAGAACGGTGGAGGGAGGTCTGAACGTCACGTGCGTCTGGATTTGCGCAGGCCCGTGGAACACAGCTATATAGATATTGTGTGCAGAGATTGGCGGTCGTTGATGACAGCGGAGACGAGATTTATTATAAATCGATAACTTGCGTGGCTAAACAACGGAGCATTGATGTCTAATGTGCTGTCTCAGGGCGCCAAAAACCGAGCCTGTTGGAATTATGTAGTGTTGCGATGCAGTCAAAGCTGATTGGTATGTAACTGAAACCATATGCTAAGTGGGAAATGAATAATATTTACGCATCAAAGATAAAACATCAACGGACTAGAATTTGTAAACAGCACAGCTAGCCTAACGAGGTGCCTGACAGCCAACACAAATCCCGCTTCCTCACTCATTTTGTATGTTCAAGGGAATGGAAGTTTATCGTGGGTGATGATGGATGAGTCTTCGTTTAGATAAGAGACGACCACTTGCTATCGCCCCGTGTCGAATTGGGCGCTTACTTCGGCACTGCGGTACTGTGTCGCAGAGAGCTTTCACTCAAACTGTCCTTGACAGGGTCATAGACAAGTTGATGCGTTAGGATGGTACAAAAGAACAAAAGAAACAAGCGTATGACTTTGCAAGTTTCAGCAAAGAAAGCTGAAATAGTCCTACCTTTGTGTATCCTACAAAATATTACACATCACTTGACACACAAAACAACCACTCGTAATTTCAAGGTGACACACGGTGACACAAGCAAAAATATGATCTCTAAAACTCAAAAGTCGAAAGGTCTACCTACGATTTCCTCTACAAAGACCATTGGCTAGCGAGTGATTGTGGTGCAGCTAAGTTTCTGTAATTGGCTATTAACTGTGACAGGGGACTTCTGGCACTGTGTTTTACCTGCAGCTCGTTGATGGCCACCCACGAGTTGGACGGGAAGCCCTGCATCATCGGCACCAGAAATTGCAGGCAGCCCGACCAGTGTCCGATGAGCAGCATCATGGAGATCAAGTTGAAGATGCGCATGAACACTGACGCCATGTTCAGGAACTGCAACGGCACGAGCTGCCGGTCAAGATGTGCGGGTGGGGTCGGGGACGGGGCTGCAGCGACCTGAAGAATGTCACCAGGGGGGTCACGGACAGTGTCATGAATGAATCGGAACTCGGGGGCAGGTTTGTCCATCGCAAAGTGTTCTAGAGAATTCTTCAGCATGACGCTGCACAATAACCGCACAATACCATGTTTACAAGGGTTTGTGTGAATAGTTTATGAAGCGCATTTGTTTTTTCCAAATATCTAGTAATTTAGGCAGAGGTTTAAGTGTTTAAAAAATTCATGCAAAGTAACTTCAGCTTGCCTTGCACTATTATTGAGCAAGTTGCAGTCTTCTGGAGTATCTCAACTAACTCAATACCGCATGACTCGTAGCTGGCAACCCATACTCAAAACTCATACATTCTAACGTCAGTTGAATAATCAGAATCACGTTCGGAGCATACATTTACGCAACCATCAAAGCACACAGTTTTTTTTAACCGATTTCTTTCAAAATTTCGGGATCGAAGTGCCATAGAAGCCTGGGAAAAATTGTTTCAACCTCATCCTGCCCAGTGCCCATCCACTTTATGAATAGGGGCTGAAGGGACGAGATTTTACAATTCAATTGTAGTGCCTTTTCTTTAACAGTGGGCAATTGCGCAAAATACAATGATACAATGCTATGATTTTTTTTTTTTGCTTGCAAGAAAAGCTCAGCACGGCAAAAACTCAGACTCTTGATTGGTAAGGTGTTTGCGTCTTGTGGACGAAATTTCACCAAATAATACTCGAATTCCTAACACTTAAACTAGGAATAATCCTTCAAGACCAGTATTTTCCTATTCAATAGATTGATAATCCAAAACACAACATTGGCATGACACTGTACAAAAGACGCATGATTTACAGTTTACAAAAACGAGGATGGACAACACGTCTCATTGTATCACATGTTCCCACGAGGCACGGTTACTAACCCTAAGACAAGCTGGGGTACATGCAGATGGCAGGGCTCTACCAATGACGAGTGACGACTCATAAGTAGAATCTTTGTGCATATAACTGTCAGATGGGTAAGAACCATTTTGTAAATCCCCTAATGTGTGAGTATCTGTGAAATTCGACCGGAATGTGGCCCATCATTGCATAGCATTGAGGGTGTCTTTACGAGAAATCTATAGTTTAGCGTAGCTCGCCGATCAAAATGCAACTGGTTTCTAGATTTGCCGGCCTAGGAAAGCACAATTTAGATTTAGTTTGGTTATAAATTAACATTTTTTAGTTATAAATAAAAATATTTACTTGCCCTTCTTCACCTATTTGTAAATTCACAGAGATCAAATATCGATTGATTTACATCTGGAAGATAAAGAATATCAGGTATCGAACACATTAGCTGATGAGTAATATAAGTTTTTTTTTGTAGTTTATTCAGAAACTTTTGAATGGAAGGAATCATATTGACAAAAGCCCGCTAAGCAGAGCTTGTAGCGTTGGTCCTACCCTCTACCCTCCGATCGCGCTGTTCCTGGCCTATGGCAGCATAGTCTGAAGTTTAATGTGCGCACGTAGCCGCGTACGGCCGGTCCCCCCCCCCCCCGCTGACCTAACCTGGCTACGGCCTGCCACCAACCGCAACCATACCCGTCAGGAGTCCCATAGACGTCGAGTGCCCATTTCGCCCCAAACCCCGGACTCTTGCAACCGGGACTGTGCTTTAAATACACGGAATCCAACGCTCTACCGGCTGAGCAACGGTTGGCTAAATAGCTTGTATAGGCTAAATTTATAGGCTAATTTTTATAGATTATTTTTCATTGGCTAGGATAATCCTTATGAAACTTAGGTACTTTCATATAAGAGTATATAAGTTCTATTTATAATCGTACGCTATGCATCTTTAACTATATTCTTCTCCTGGCATTAGCGATTGCTACCGTATCACCGACTGCGACGGTAAGTGAAAGACCATATCCTTGGTTTTGGGATGCAGTTTAGTTGCGTGTTACACTGTGCTTGATAGGTGTTAGGTGCGAATTAGTGAAGTGAGTGCGCTGTGATTTCGGTCTATACAAACACGATATTCTAGCATTCCGTGAAATTTCGCCAGGGTTATCGTCAACGTAAGAATATGTGCATCAACTCAATACGAAATGTAACATAACCATGACAAAATAATAAAGAAAAGAAAATATAACTGCAAGCTGGGATAATCAGAGGACCTCCGAGAGGATTTCAAATGGAAATCGGGTGGCGTCCGCCTCTGGTGGTTCAGGGTTTCCGTGATGTCAGTTGGGCTACTCCTTTCCTATAACTAGACGCTGGCAGGGATGGGGCATGCTGGCGCGCGCAGCATGCTAGGGTCGGGTCGGAGCGGGCGGGCCATGCGATCCGCCGGCCAGGACCGCCAGTGACCCGCGGAGGCAGCCACTCAACTACGGCAAGCACCGCCGGCGAGCGGGGCCGGCAGCGCAGCGCCTCAACCCAACGGCTCCTCATCATAACCACTGACAGTGCCGCGTGCAGGTGCTGCAAAAGCCGCCCCACAGTTCCGCACGAAGCATACACCAAAATGGAGCGCTCTATAGGTACGCGGAAATTGAAGCACTGCTGCAGAAAAAAGGATTTAGCATTTATTATGCACACACTCCTCGTCTCTTCATTCATTTCCTGATTCCAGGATAATTAATCTTTTTTTCTGATAATATATAATGGAGAAACGTTTAAAGTTATGTGAAACATTTCCAGTAACCTGAAGCTCCTGGAAATCATGATACATCCTTAATAAAAACTTTTAAATCTCTTAACAATTTTGTTCGGTATTTGTTTGAAACCTGGAATACTTGTACTGCAAACAGATGCTATTGTCAATTACGCTTTTCATAAATTCAGCGACGCATATACTCGTAGCCATTAGCAAAATATCGATGCCCTGCACAATACACTGTGTGTATATGCAGTGTTCTTTCCACCACCTAAGTCTGAAAACTAAACTACACTATTTCTACGATTGAACACTGCAAAATAAAGTAAATAAATTCAAGGCCGTGCAGGTTAAAAGACTCATGCAACCAAAGTGGTCTTTTACCTTCACCAACACACCAGATTTCAACTTGGCTTTACTTTTGGGAGCATCTGCCTTGGCGTCTCGTCTTTGACGCGCTTGCTTTTGGTGCTTCTGTAATATCTATAGGTCAAACAATACTTGTGTGAGAAACACTATGATATTATCTTTGGAATCGTTGAAATGTCAATCGCATTGCATATACAGATGCTATAAGCCACAAAGGTACATTCATAAACACGCCAAATCAACAACATTACTAATCAATATTCATTGATGCCTTTTTTGAAGAAAATATCGGCACAACTATCACGTTAAAATTATTTATCTTTTATTCAAATGTGTTTGGTTGCCAAGCCAAACAGTACTCGTAAACGCGACATTGGAGCTCATCAGGGTTGTATACCAATCAAGTCGATTGAATTGATTGATTTGATTCAACGCGTATTTTGAGTTGATTGGATTGAGTCGATTGACTTTTCGAGATGACTGGTTGACTGACTCGTTTGACTTTAGCGACTGGTTGACTGATTTGATTCCCGAAAATTAGAGTGACTCGTATGATTGAGTCGATTGAATGGAAAGTTGAAATAAGTTTTAGTTGACGAAAAATAATGACACCAATTGATGACATCAAAGATCACAAAACTACACTGAAAACTGCTTGTCATCGCAACTGCAATATGGGGTAGATGGCCAAGTAAAGAACAGGGCCTAAACATGAACAGCCAACTTTGACTTTCAACTGCAATAACTGCTCCAATCCTGTGATAGAACCTGGCGATGCACCTACCTTTCTGCACTCAGCAGGAAATTTTTTTTAATCCAGATGATAAAGTGCAAGGCCCTATATACTAAAAAAGTGTGATTAGTTACTAATTCACATCTCCACATCTCCTCAGAAACAACCCACTGAACTCTATAAATATCTGAAACCCCTACAAAAAATAACTGAAACAAAAGCGCCGTTTTCGATTTGCTGCATTGTTTAATTTGCAGCAGAACGTTTGTTGATCCTTTTCTCCTGAGAGCCTAGAAATAACATATTTAATATATTTCATTTTCCTTAAAATATTTTACCGAATATTATTAAGTGGTTTTATTTCAAATGAAATAATAATTAAAACGAAATTGGTGTTGTACAACCGATTTATTTTATGATGATCTACCATACTACATGATAATCAATGACGTCATCTTACCAAAAAATCAAAAGACGTAAAATAAGGATTTATAAAAGCTTAGCATACTTCTTGGCAAAACGTTTTTTTTTTTTTCGCAGTCGCACCAACGGCATTTAATTTTCCTGACGGCTACGCGCCCTAATCCACGAAGAAGAAGAAGAAGGCATTTAATTTTCCTTGTTCTTCTTCCTTTGTCCTTAACTTATCCTGTGGTTCCAGAGTCCCTGTCTTTCCATTTCCTTTTAAATATATTTTTAATGCTCATCCCTATCCCCCAGTCCTAACAGTTTCAAATTGTATTGCAATAAAATGTTTTGAATTCTTCACATATAACCTATCTACCTTCGTTGGTACTGTTGGTAGCCAGTGACACATCTAGGCAGGTAAGTAGGTACCTACCTGCTTTCCTGCTGTCTTCATAAAGCATACCTAATGAAGTTGTCAAATTTGTAGCACATTTTCAACACTTTCATATCAATATGGTGTCAGTGTGGCCCTAACCTAGCTAGGTTCATTATGTTCAGGGTTCAATTCAGAAGAGCTCCGCATAACTCACATAAGAGACAGACGGGGGCTTTACATGGGGTAGATGGCCTGATGACTTAGCTGGAATATGGCCAAAATTAAATTGACAACTTTTAGGTGAAAGGTGGTGGTTTGGGTTAAGGGGCGTTTGTTGAAGTCAACTACTGGGTTATTTTGCACCCATTAAATGAAACTTCTGCTCCAATTCTACCCATTGAACCTCAATATCATGATCCACCTGTCCATCACTAGGTATCCTTCCTCAGTGGCGCAGCCAGGGGGGGTCAGAGGGTCAGCTGACCCCCCCGAAATTTCTGTCAGGGGCCCGCTCGAGAGAAGGAGAGAGAGAGAGAGAGAGAGAGAGAGAGAGAGAGAGAGAGAGAGAGAGAGAGAGAGGGAGGGAGGGAGGGAGGAGAGAGAGAGACCCTAATCTAATCGGACGAGCCCGCTTCGAGAAATGCCTACTGGGACACCACGGGTGAGGGGTCGGCCTGGGCCCCAGGTGGACGGGGCCCGGGCCCCCGGGAGAACGGGCCCGGGCCTCCTTGGTGGATAGGGCCCGGGCCCCCGTGGATGGGTCCGGGCCCCCGGGAGAACGGGCCCCGGGCCCCGGGTGGACGGGGCCCGGACCCCCGGTTGGATGGGGCCCGGGCCCCCGGGAGATTGGAGAACGGACCCGGGCCTCCCGGAGAACGGGCCCGGGCCCCTGGGAGAATGGGCCCGAGCCCCCTGGGTGGATGGGGCCCGGGACCCCGTGGATGGGTCCGGGCCCCCGGGTGGATGTGGCCCGGGCCCCCGGGAGAACGGGCCCCGGGCCCCAGGTGGACGCCGGACCCCGGGTGAATGGGGCCCGGCCCCCGGATGAATGGGGCCCGGGCCCCCTAGTGGACGGGGCCCGGCCCCCCTGGTGGACGGGGCCCGGAGCCCCAGGTGGACGTGGCTCGGGCCCCCGTGTGGATAGGGCCCGGGCCCCTGGTTGAATGGGGCCCGCTAGGGTGACTCGCTTGCTCCACAAAGCGAATAAGGGGTATTTTCGATCGGTGGGCGTTTGGCTGGTCTTGTGTCCGTGGGTTATGTATCCAATTCGGTTGATTGCTTTTTGACGGCTAAGCATTTTGGTTTGGGAAAAAATATCCATTGCATCGAGGTGCTCGTGTCTGATAAGCATGCGTTCTACTATAGAACATGTCATGTGTAGTTTATAACAAAGGTTGACGTAGGTTATTGAAAAATGATAGCGATCGATGAATTACTTTGTAGAGGTTTGCAACATTTATATTTTTAAGAATACTGTTGCTCGTCATGCAAAAGCGATGATTGGATTTTGGACAAAATTAAATGTTCTTTCCAACTATGCCATTTTCAACTGTCAAACGTACCAGGTTATGCAGTAAAACCCATGTAATTAAGTAAGTCATTAACAAATACCATTCTCTCCAGCGATTTGTTCTGCACCTTGTTTTTGATCAATTAGCTGTTCACAATTTTTCCATGAGAGGCGGTACCTTTCTTTTGCCAACAGGCGTTGTTTGAACCCGCTCCGTCAAACAGTCACCCGAAAATAGCATTAAGTCCCAAATCTGTCCGAAACGTAAATTTTCCAGCATAAGTGCCCTCACGGGTGCACGTGGCGCGTGCCATCCCTGCACCGCACACCATTCGATAGTCCTTTCGATTCTCTACACGATACTGTGTTCCCCGTGCCGATTGGGCCCACGGTTACCGAGATACTGCATGGGTACCGGACCAGTGTCTGGCATATTTAGCCATTTTCGCCCGATTTTGCAAGCCGATTTATACATGTAAAGTCCATGACGCGAATTTGCACTTTTTGAGCACGCGCCATGTGCTCGCTATCGATCCGATCGAGCTGAGACCCTCAAAGGCACGTTGCCCATCCTTGATCTATAAGTTGCGCAAATTTCAGCGCACTTGGCGCAACGGTCGGGCCCGTACCCCGCGCTAAGTAACACCATGCCGGGACCACGATAGCAGACAGAATCTACGTCACCACATCACCACGCCACAACAAACCCGGCCCAAGGCAAGAGTATGCATTTAGGCCAGGTCGGGTCAGGTCAGGTCAGGTCAACCAATAGCAGTCCTGCCGGGTATTCGTAGTACCTACGTGTCAGCCGCCTCTGGCAGCTTCGCAACATGTTACGAAGGCACCAAAACTACTTCGTAAATGTTCAAATGGTTGTTAAATTCGGATTCAGCTCCAAAAACTAGCCTGGGAACATGTATAATTCGAAAAAAGTACCGAGGTCATCATAGGTAATGAATGACCTGACCTGACCTTCAGGTGACCTTGACATCCACCCTAATGCATGGGAGCAGCATCAACTCACTGTTGTTTGAATGCTTGAAACCACGAAAGACTGCAAACGCGCGGCTAATGCGAGCCGGCATACGCCGAATCGCGATTCTGGCCAAACATGGTCTCGGAAAGTAGGTCACAGGTCAAAGGTCATTTGGGTCAGGGTCATGAAATTTCTAGGTTAGGGTAGAACTGATCAACGCGAGGGTACTGAAAGTTTGGTCGTGATCGGCTGCTTCTTACGCGAGTTATTTGCGAAAACCCTTAGGGGGTTGCATCATCCCCTCCCCTGTGCCGGCGAGGGTTAAAACTTCTTGTGAGCGAATTCACGTAATGAAGAAGAATAAATCACAATCTACTACAGCAGCCAATAGATGACTTAGGAGTTAGGACAGGCACATGGGACTGCTTAAATCTTGTCCGACAGAAGCAGGCAACAGTTCCGTTTGCATATATGCTATGCATATTGCGGAAGGGGCACATTTCGCCCTCGAAAGATACGAATTCATACGTCATAGTAACATATTTCTGTCATGGTCAATTCGCGTAGAAATTGAACACTGGGTGATTACCGAGCTATTGTTCTATCAAAATTTTCCGATTCAAACTCGCTCAGGGTTATCGTACAGGTAAAGGGGGCCCGCTCAGCAGAATGCGTATGTAATATGGAAAGATTCTGAAAAATGGGTGGGGGGCCCGCACACTAGGGGGCCCGCTTTGGAGGCGATGACCCCCCCGAAACGAAATCCTGGCTGCGCCACTGTCCTTCCTTATTACAAAGAAACTTTGAATGGCATGGCAATTTATAATTTTAAATGGCAATATTTTTGTTTCTTCTGTAGGTAGGTAGGTAGGTAGGTACACCAGACTGCTATGGACACTTTTCCAAGTTGGTGGGGCAAAAAACCTAATGTATATCTTGGTTTGAGTCGTTTGATTGAGTTGATTGATTCCTTTCATTGTCGCGTTTGAGTCGATTGAATCAATTCCCGAAAACTGCTCTGACTTGATTGATTTGATTGGTTTCCCAAATTTGTCGTGATTGAATTGATTGCTATTGATTGAGTCGTATACAACCCTGGAGCTCATACATTTTGCGGATGTCGTTTGATGTATTCACTAAAGACCACGAGGAAAATATCGAAGCGTTGCCAAAATAACAGAAACCTGTGAGGCAGATGCACTGCATAGTGCATAGTGCATACCTAAGCAAGGAGCTAACAAGCAGAAAATCAGCAGCGGCTTTTTTAGGCGAATCGATAACTTTCTTGCATCGTTTGCGTACTCAAGTCGAAGCAAATTAGTTGTCACTATTTTGTGCAGTTTTTTATACCTCTTCTGTTTTTTGTACCAAAATGTATACCATTCCTTGCAAGCGTTGGTAGCGTTGTTAAAGAAAAGGAATCCTAAGATGCAAGCAAGTTTATCGGTGATGTCAGGGTCCGTCCTAATTCATTATGCCGAGCGTAAAATCAAGTAGCATTTTCAGGTCAAGTAGCTCAAACGGTTCAGCGTGACATCAGTTGAAATTGATTTCGTTTACCGCAGAAAATGGCAACACATAAAAAGGAATATCAGTTCACCCTATTTTTAACTGCAGATAACTAAACTAAACTGATTTGTTATTTTGCACACTGTGGCGATAGATCTCAGCTTCGTTTCAACTGACAAAAGTGAAAGAGACACACTTTTGCTTTGTTTTTGAGGTCCGATAAACTGGTTGATGATGTTTGACTTTACCCGTAAGGTAGCTGGGTTTTCGAAAGTAAATGACTGGACAACTATGCATAAGTGACATCCGCGCTAAGTGAAAATGTTCCAACGCATGCCCAAACCATTTCGCCAGCTCATTTTGCGACACTCGGCAAGCATCTGCCAATAGCAATAACTGCAGCGTTTCTTCGCTCTTTGTTTCTTTCGTCGCCAAAAAATCTGAGGTTGGTAACAATTCCCGCTATGGACAAAATGTAGGCTGCCGAGCCCTCCAGCGCCTTGCTAGCATGCTCATGCATTAAAGAAGATTGCCGGGGCATAAAGAAAGAGACCGGAGTTAATGACCCGATTTACACGATGTTAATATGCTCGTTACGTCACCTGAATAATCCCGGGTTTTGGAATACGGTGCAAAGCCGTCACTTAAGGCCCTTGCTTAAACGGACACCTTACATTAAAGGAAGATAATAACACTAGCATCACGCAAACGTTTCCCACTCTAGAGCACAACTTCTGATTTTCTGATTTCCGTTAGAAAGGAGAGGCTGCAAATGAACTGAACTGGAAATCATATTTTAATTAACCCAAATGACTGAATATACGTGATGTGTAGAACTCAAGTTAAAGAAGCCAAGCAGGAGATATTTAGTGTACACAGGAGACATACACAAAAACTACCGAGGGGACACACAACCCATTGACCCACGTCTACATATCTGCGTTTCTAATCCGAAATCATTGCCCGCCAGTACGGCGCAATATCTATTGATCTACAGGACCTGACAGAAACCTGCCCATTTCTTCTGCGCGACGCGCGGGAGCCCTCAACCCATTTACCGCACCGAGGGGGACGCCGGTCGGGGAAGTGGTAACACTCACATACACTTCCTCCCACTGGCTAACGTAGCGCACGAGTCGCGACAGTCGCAGCAGCCGCACCAGACTGAGCAACTTGGCCAGCCGGAGGATCCGCAGCGCGCGGCCGGCGTGCAGGATCTGGAAGCTTTCCGTGAAGTCCTGAAACGACGTGAACTGACGCCAGGTTAGTGGCCCTCTGACACCTGACCTGCGGCTGGGGGATGATGTCGCGGACGGCGGAGTGTCGCGTGGTGAACTAGAGGTCAAGTGATAGGCTCAGTATTGCAATGTACTGTGATGTCCGTTTGCAGGACCATACTGCTGTGACGTTATGCACGTTTTATTTTGGTTATGGCGAACCAAAGCATAATCACCCTGCGGTCACACTTTTATGAGGTGGCTACTGATGATGGGCATAAAATGTGTCATTTGTACTGGAGCTCTATATATGTCTAACAGTTTTTTTTTTACTGAAACAGTAATATGTCCAAATGTTACATTTCGTGGTACGTGTGACCACATTTTACGCGTCAATCGATAGCTTTGAAGCAATTTTGACCTGTTATCCCAACAAACTTTTATGTTCTACATTCTTTTCATGAGTTTCACTGAAAATGAATGTGTCTGTTCCGTCGGATGATGTGATATAAAATGAGAACAATCGATGGTTTTTGACACAAATTATTATCAAGAATAATTAATCAGAAAGTGGAATAAGCTGAGTCATGATAGCCTTGAGATCTTGCATGGGGATGGGGTATAGTTGCATGCCATTATGCCATAACAACATTCACAAACAGTGCTGTGCATAATGCCAAATTTCGAAAAAATATAAATGCATTTGGAATAGGCATACACAATTCGAGACGAAAAGTAATACAATTGGCTCAGCAAAAGTCTTTGGACTTCAATAGAAAAAATATGCTATGCAGATTTAGGAAAATATTGGTGGCGATATTTTTGGGACGTGCAATAAAAGTGGTTTATTGTAATTTCCATTTCGACTGTTGCATAGAAAATAGATGCTTTACGATACGATACGATACTTTAAAAGATACCTATGTCCATGATATTTTTGTTTTGATCCTTGTAAGACAACCACTGGCAAACCATGAATCCTGAAATAACTGCTGTTATTTTGTCTGTTCGGGCTTGTCAGAGCTGCGTGAGAGTTTTGGAGTGATATAAAGCTGTTTCCAGGTTCTTTTTTGTGAGCCAGCAATTTCTAAATTTAAGCCACGGTGAGTATAAGCAAATTCTAGGAGGGGCTCGAAACTTGTCATACACGAACCCTTTGCATGCTAAGCATGGTGTTCTGAGCATGGTTCCATATCAAAGTAAGGCAACAACTATGCAAAAATTAACTGAGTTTGAACGTTCGCATTGTTTTATGTACTGCTCAAGCAAGAGCGTAGCCTGCACAGCGATTGAGAGTGATGAATCATCGTAAATTCTTCAAGCCATCATGCAAATCATCAATGGCATGAAAACTGCCCTTAAATGCAACACACGGTGACCCAAGTTGGGGTGGCTCAGATCCCCTTGAAGGAAGTTGAGCCAGCCCAGCACAGTTGGACACTATGCACCCTGCCTAATCTAGGCACAAACTGACACAATACCACTCTCACACGGCTAGAGCATATCAAACGCCCGTACATAATAACGAAATTGGCACCAAAAGATCATGTTGGACATACTCTGGAACTGGATGAAAACTAATGCAAACGATGTGAGCACGACATCTAACTAGACTCTATTGTGGAACACACAAAGCGTTGAGATGCCGTGAACCTACCTTCGTACTCGCTGGTAGTGTCAGCATTAGTACCGTTGGCTGGCTGATTTTTTTTTTTTTACACATGCGAGCGGCATGCAGCAGCGAGCACAGGAAGCATGCAAGCGGACGCGGCGTGGAGGCATTCCCGGGAAGAGGGAAGGGACGCGGCGCGGACTCGACCTCTGTCGTCGCCCACTCTCGACACAGACCTGGTCGGCTTCGCCATCAGCGGCACGGTTCTTGTAGATCTAGGGAACAATAGAACAGAGACGTTTGTGACGGGGCGCGACTGGCCGACTCTCCTCTCCTCTCCTCTCTTCTCATCTCTCCATCTACCTCTCTCCTCTGTCTGCCGGGCTTTGAGTCTGGGGTCCGGACTCCGGCCAGTGGCAGACACCGGCCGCGGGGTCGGTGCGGCGCTATATCTCACCGGCCGCCGGCAGAGAGACGCCGGCACGTCTTTAGATCGATGGGACAGGCGGCGGGAATGGCTCAAGTTATCCAAATGACGACCCTACTGGCGAGGGATGCCAAAGGAGTTCAATGGCGGACGGAACGGCACGTGTGGCTGTGAATGGGGGAGGAGGTGGAGCTGACGAACATTTGCAGCGCTACATATATGAGCCACTTAGATGCATGTGAAAATCAAGCTAACAAGGTGAAACATTTAAGACGGATGATCACAGCTAAGTTGCGCTGGTGCGCAACAGTGAACAAAATAAAGCCAGCAGAGCACATTCGTTGTCTAGGTCATAGCCATAGGCCATTGTAAGGGTTCCTCTTACGGATCAGTTACCATTTCTGCTCTACGGAAGGGTACAGCAAACTACACAACCGGGCAATGCCGATACATAAATCATCTAGTTGATGGAGTATCAGCGGGCGCCTTTCCCATTTCCTTCCTAAAATAATTATCAAACGTGAGATTCCTGTAAATTTGACTCGAAACCTCAGCATGAGAAGCATACGCTTTCGCCCAGCAGCTTCCGTCATTCGAGTATAAGTATCCCTTCACCGCACGAATATTACTGGGACCGGCACAGTAATATCATTATCAGGCCTAACGGTGTCACAGCGTGTTCATTATCATCACAACTGGCCAGATAGCGGGGCCGAGCAGCCATCGGTCACTGGCGCCTGCACCGGCGCGGCGAGGGAGCGGCTCGACCCGACTTCTCTGTGCAGGGCGGGCAGAGGCGCTGTGCCGTGTAGACGCTCCCAGCACCAGCACGGTGTGCTGCTGTGCGTCTGTGTGTCTGAGTTTGCACGTGTCGCCAGACCAACTAAAGTGCTTGTATCCCCAGCAAATCACATTCGTTGTTACTGTTATAGGCCATAGTAAAGCTTCCTCTCACGGCGGCAGCGTCGATCGACGTTATTCAAGATACAACGAACAGAGGCCCGGTTCCAGCCACATCAAAGAGCACGTCCTCTTGTGATGTACACCACACCGCGCATTGAATAAGCGTGCAGAATCGCCAGCAACTGCAAGGTGGTTTGAACGTTGTTGCAACTACAGATTTTGTGTCTTCGCACAGATCACCGCGACTAAAACCACCTGCGCATGATGTAAGTACAGAGCCTTCGCAACAAAAACATTTAATTCTTTGAACATTTACCATGTCCACAGATGGAAGCCGTGGTCCCGTTTCACCGGTACAACAGGCTTTTGACAATAATTAATAAACTATTCACCTCACATATGCTCGTTGCTCGATAATCTCTGCTGTTAGCGCTCGATCTGCCGCTCTCTCCCGTGTCTCCCGGGGCCAGAGATCTCCGTATCCGGTGGCGTGCTGCGCGCCGGCCGTCTCCCTCCCCCTCCCTCTGATCGTGTCGCCCGGACACGGGTGGCTGTGCGCGTGCCCCGCGCCCGTGGCCGTAATCGAATGGCTGACCGGGATGGAGGCGGCCTCATCAATCTGGCCGGCCGGCCGGCCTGCGGGGTCAACAAATCAGAGGCGGCGCCGCGCGCGCCACGCCGAGCCCTGCCGCCGCCGCTCGGCGACACGGCACCACACCGACTGCGACACCCGAACAGGAAACCAATCGGGCCGCCGGTCGACCAGATAAATTTGGAGCAGTCGTGCGTGGACCTCGGTATCTACGTGAGAAGTAGGCGTTGGAACCACGAAAACTAAACACGTGAGATAGATATATAAAGAAATTGTTTTGTTCATTGACTTGCCTAGAAATATTTCAGAAAGTCGCAGCAGCCCATCCCTTGGGGCCAGCCAAGTACAAGTAATGATTTCGCGTGGGGTATCGAGCACAGGAATAAATTTTGAAATCCTGAGGGTCAGTTTTTTTTAATAAATATACAATAAAAGAGTTGTTAAAATTTGAGAACTCGGCTCACGGCTGGATTGTGGAAAATGGTCTTGTTTACTTAACGTATTAGGCTTATAACGCAAGGAACTTTCATAAAAGTAGTCAAGATCTGTTAAAGATGTTCTCATTTATACCACTCCAATTGGACTTTAAGATGAATGTATAAGGCAAAATAGCCACGTAGTGCGTTTATCGATTTGCCAAAATATTCTAGCATGCCTCATGAGCTCAAGCTTAGAGAACAAATGTGGACACTATTTGCACAAAAAGACGCATGTTATGATGTTACAATGAAAAATTTCGCATAATTAAAGAAAAGATTTTCGCGTCCGTCGTGAAGACCTGTCGTTAAATCGATTAGTTAAGTCTTAATGAAAGTGAGCTACAATGATTACAAGTCCACCGGTTCATCATGCAACGTTAGATATTATGGGACACTACGAAAAAGGAAAGCGCTTTCATAAGATCATATGACGATGACATCTAAGGAGCTCAACTTACTTGATTTACGATGAGAAAAATATAGTCGAGTGGTATGGAAGATATGAGGTCGAGGAAGAACCACGTACGCAGATAATGTCTTGCTATCAAGATGGGATCCAAAATCACTTGCTCTGAATTGTCTTGATGCATAATCCCTGCGAAAATGCGCATTGTCTCAATAAAGATATATATTCAGCTATTTATTTAGCAAGAACGAAAAGAAAAGAAAACTTTAAAAGATGGATGACACTAGCGCTGACTTATGAGTTGCATGATTTCTGTTTATTGTTCGGCACAAATAAACTTACTTATTCACAATTTTCCAATGTTTTCGAACACTTTATTGGGTGTTATCTTAATGAGATAGAAAGGTTGTTTTAATTCCTCTCATTAGCCCCGTTTATATAGGGATTGTTGCAAGCTAATAGCTCCACCCGTTATGTTGCAAAAGATGCCAATGATGCCTTACAATTTACCGAATTATCCCCTCCAAATATGCAAAGATTACTGCATCGACTTTATCTCAAAAGAAATGAGCTAGAGCCTCGTCAAAATGCAATGTAAACTCGACTATTAACGCTATAGTAATCATGGAGGTTATAAATCTGAACTGACTGGTCACAGATACAACAAATTCGAAATATGATTTGTTGCATACATAGTTAATATCTTAATGAAGGCTTCAAAGCGAACAAATACCAAAAGTGTGAAATCATTCGCTCTGTCGTATTTAGACTAAAATAGTTCTCGTATTTGTACAAGCTGCATTTACGCCTTTTGCTCGTCCCCATAGCTGAACACAAAGCAATACTTCTTGGCTATTTATATGATAAATGACCAGCGTAACAAGTCATTGACACTCACCTGTTCTAAAGTTTACAATGATATCGATGAGAAAGATGGTGTCCGACAAACAGTTGAACGCTATCCATCGTGAGCTCAATTCGTCGTTGAAGAAGGAGATCGCAACGGGCAATATAATCAGGTTTGCCACCAGGAGTAATAACATACACAGGTCCCAGTAAAACCTGAAACGAGAGGAAACGTGTTACAGGCACGTGAATATCACTTAGCGACGAACAAATGCGGGTAGACCCGGTTGTTTGTTGACCGAATTCGTAGACTCTTTCAATGTATCATTTCATTATGGAAATTATCCTTTTTACCTCTACAAGTTAGATATCCAACTCAAGAGATGCGTAGGGGGCTCTTTGGCGGCTTCTTGGTTCTTAATGTCCGTAGATCATTTCAGATAAGAGATGGTTACGAGGCCATTCTGTGAAGGGTAACAGCTTGCTGAAGTCTCGGCTGGTTTAATGAAGACCATTATTTTTCTCACTGCGTCGTGATAGGAGAGAATGATTAGCAGAGATGAGGAAAGCAGTACGTGCTAAAGATTTACTGTCACTGTTCAATCTGCCTCACTTTTACGACTAAGACGGTAGATAATTCCACCCTACTACCAATGCATCTTTTTAAGGAGTTATATGAAGCTTCACCCCATCCAAAATATTCCTGACCTGGGCAATATCTCTGAGGAAGACTTGTGGGTAAGCAGCGCATTTTTGGAGGTGCTGTTGCCAACTGCAAGTGCAGCATCGTCAGGTGATAGATGTGCCAACAAACTGGACATTTTTGGTGCCTGAGTCTGAATGTACTTACATCAAATGGGACAATGGTTCAAGAAGTGAACGAATGCTGCGTGAATTGTAGTCTTTGCTTCCATTTGGCTATTTTGAATTACGATAACAAAGGTGCATATTTGAGGTTTAAAGCACGCGTTTACGAATGTAAGTACATGTTTGATTGCTCGCCATTTCAGAAGCACCTGCGATACTCGTTTCCACTGCATGCCAATTGTCATGACATGCGTGACACTCCCGTTTATTCCCACAGCCCCGCTGACACATCTTGACACACTCTGACACATTCCGATTCATTGTGACACACCCTGGCACACTGTGGCACACTCTGACACACCCTGACACACTTTGATACACTGTGACACGCCCTGACACACTGTGACACACTTTGACTCACTGTGACACACTCTGACACACTGTGACACACTTTGACTCACTGTGACACACTCTGACAGACTGTGACACATCCTGACACATCCTGACACACTGTGACACACTCTGATACACTATGACACATTCTGACACATCCGGACACACCATGTGACCGATCGAACGCCATCACACGCCACCACCTCGAGCGCTAGTACCCGATTGATTGCCGTTTTGTCGTTAATGCCGGCAGCAGCTCGCCAGTCGCTCGCGGAGTTCCTAGAACTTTGGCCCCAGATCCTTGGGCCATGAGAGAATGGCTTCCGGACTTCAGTAATGATAGTGCAGTACAGTGTTTTACGGCAGTGCCATTCATAGACGACCCATTCCGTTGATGCTGGATATTTGGGAAGCACTGCCGGCGTATGTGACGTACTCGTATGTGACGGACAAATCGAGTACCGCGAGTGCCGCTCGTTCAATACCTCGTGCGTGGAGAACCGTGACAAAAGGCCGTGACGAGCACCGGCCAGTTCTCAGAGCTCTCTCAGGTAGAGCCCTCGGTGCGCGCGCCGGGCTGCGGTGGTCCGTCGTTTGTTCCCAGGGAACATGTTCGGCCTCCATTAGCCGGTGCCGCCCACTGCGGCCACTGGACGGGGCAGGGGCCGGCGGGGAAAATGACCCTGCCCGCGGCGGTGGTGCATGGCGGCGGTGGCGGTGGGTTGTGTGACCTGACCCCGCCCCCGTCGCCTGTCCAGGTGTCGTCTTGATGAATGGGATGATACGGCGACAGCGATGACAGGGGTACGCGGGGCCACGCCCATCACTGCACTGCAGCGGCTAGCGTTGGTCTGGCAAAGGATGAATCGCTTTCATATGTGACTACACTCGATTGTAAAAATCGAACATGACAGGATGCAGCATGGTTACTGCACAAAGTCACGGAACATGTTCCATAGCTCTCTTTGTCACTGAGCTCCCACATATTTTCATATTTTCCCAAAATGAGCAATTTTAGCGAATCGTTGCTCTGGTATAGTGTCATTACAACTCCAAATCGGTTGTGAAAGCGAGACATTTCTATTTTAATGCTATCTGACATCAAAGAAGTCTACCTGTTACAGTTGCTAAAGAACTATGCAAATGTTCCATTCCTGCCAAGACATGAACATTAATATTTATGCTGTTGCCAAAAGGCGGAAGCAGCAGCCGTTAATAGGTTTACGAGAAACAGGCGCTATATCCCGGTGTATTTGTGTCCCGGGGCTCACGCACCGCTGGAGTGCCAGGCACTATTCACCGACTGCGTCTCGGTCCTGCTACTTTCGCAGTTTCACTCTATGATGCCCTCGGTGACTGCGAGCTCCGAGAAGGCGGCTGTTTCAGACAACCTGATTTGACCTTGCAGGCTGTCCCAGCTGGCTGCTCACGACATCAAGAGACTTCAATATTTATCAGGATCTCATGGAATTTTCAAACGCAGCCCCAAGGTCGCTAATTCATTCACTAAATACGACTTTACCACGGGGACTTCACTTCCGAGCCCGTCTATCCAAAAAGAAACTAGACAGACAGATAATACACAACTGTGCTTCCAGCTCGGCGGCACTGTCCTGCGCCGCGCTATGGCCGACTCAGAGCGGCCATCAGCGCTGGCTGCGTGTCCTTGCCGGCGCGCCGGGTCAGTGGGTCAAGTGTCGTCCGTTGGCCGCGGGTCAGACCGCCCTGGGACTGATGAGCCCGCTGGCCGGCGCCCGGCTGGCTCTGATGGGTTGGGGCGGGTGAGCGGGGGCTTCCCCCTGCGAAGACGCTGCGCGCAGACCGGCCGGCGGCGGTAGCGCTAAGTGCCGCCGCTGGCCACTATTGATTACCACTCGCTAGTGTCTGGTGTCGTCAGCTGAGGTTCGATCAGGCGGCACGCCATCCGCTCATTACCCCGTGCCCCAGCGCCCCCTCCCCCTGCTCTGGCCGCCGCAGCTTCCGGCCGCCTCTGCGCTGAACAGGGAGTCAGCAGGCCAGCAGTCCTGCAGTGCGAGGTCCGACCCGGTAATCATTCAAGGGGAAATAATCAGTCCTATCAGCTTCAGTGCGGGACAGCTAGTCAGACAGCTGTCGTCATTCAGTAGCCAAAAGCCCGATATGCTGTTTAGTATGTATGTTGAATTGTGTGCTGCATTGTACCACAGCTATTTATCTTCTCATAATAACTTTGTATTTTGACTTATATCGTACCTACTTTCACAATTCACATACTTCTTTATTTTTACGCATACAAATACAAAAAAAGGGCAACATCTGCACTCTTTTTTTTAATATTTTTGGTGCCCGACTCGGGCTTTTGTCGTTAGTAGCACACATTCATACTGGGTTAGTACACTATATACACGGCAGTGGTACGAATCGTTTTCGGCACCCGCTACGCGGGACAGCCTTGACCGCACGCTTCCTGTCACATGCCCCAGGTGGCACCGCACTAGTGCGCACGCTGGGGCTATCCCGATTTCTCGGGCCCGGCAGGTCAGAGGGCTGCTCCGGGACATGGAGCGAGGCCGTGCCCTCGGGACATGTCACCGGACCGAAGGATCTGTTTAAAGGCGGATCAGGCCCGTGTACCTGCGGCCGGGGGCACTGGTTGGCATAGCGTTAATCCCCACGACCGAGCGAACACTCCCCAGTTACTGCCATCTCCTGGGTAGGAGCCGGCCGAGGAAAACGCTGCCAGAGGTCAGCTTTGATCCAAGGACCTCCCACACCAAACGTGAACGCACCTGCCAACTGCGCCACAGGGGTGGTTAGGCAACATCTGCACTCTGCAGTGTTGCAGTATTGCACATAAACCTATGGCGACTTTTCAGCCCAACTGGCACGCCCTATGATAAAGCCCTGGAATTAGCTTTATTTCACAAAATAACGCCTTGAGACTTCTCACCTCCGTCGAATATACGCATGCAGTTCACTCTCGAAACTGGAGGACGGGCTTCTGAACACTTCACCTGGTACGACATTCGTTGAAACACTCGACTCGTCTCCCAAGAGGATCGACTTGCATCGGCCTCACTTTGAACGTGCCAAGATTCGAATGACGTTGCAGACATATTCGAGACCAGAAAAGAATGAGAGATGGTAAAATGAAAAGGCGGCAGATGGAAATGAAACTCAAGTGGGTCTAAATTTTGTGCTGTCATGTTGCTGCTGTAAAACTGGAATGTTTCGTACAAAAGTGCAGAGGTTTTGCTTACGCTTTATTGTGCATACGTTAGGCCTCATTTGGAATATTGCGTTCAGTCATGGTCTCCAATGCATGAAAAAGATAGCTTGCTTTTGGAAAGAGTGCAAAAAAGGGCGACAAAGATGGTAAATGGTATGAAAGATCTGCATTATGAGGATAGATTAAAATCGCTTAAGCTATTTTCTCTCAAATACAGAAGGCTTAGGGGAGACTTGATCGAGGTGTTTAAATTCGTAAATGGCCAAGCCACAGGATACCTTAAGGATATGTTTGATTTCAATTTGGAGGGCAGAAGCAGGGGCCATCAATATAAGCTTGCCATTAAACGTAGCAGGACAAAGTTAAGGCAGTCGTTTTTCAGTAGAAGAGTGGTAGGTCATTGGAACAGTTTACCAACTAGCGTAATAAGTGCAACCTCTCTCGAAACATTTAAACATAGCCTCGACAAATACTTTACAGAGCGGGATATAGTATACAGATATAGGTGGGACTAGCCAACTGATGTGTGTATGTGATCAATGTAAGATGTGCGTGAATTCATAGCAAAAATTATGCCTGGTATTAGGTTGCAATATGTGTGCAGAATGTTGTTGCGGGTGTTTGATGCTGTTCCGTTGAGCTTACATGCGAATTGTTTGGAGATGCCTTGCATGGCAGTGGACTTGTGAGACATTTGGCGATGATAGTGCGTGGCTGGGGGGGGGGGGGGGCAGGGAAGAGTTGTGACGAAATGATTGATGAAGTGATGAAGTGGCAAAATGCTGTGTAATGTGGTGTAGGTATGATTTATGCCTGCAATGTGTCGCTGTTTTGTGCCAACTTCACACACATAAGTTAGGGAGAAAAGCGGAAAGGTGGCACGCATTTTGACAGACTGTGCAAATGTGCAACCAAGTATGGGCCCCAGTGGCTCTTTGTTGTACTGCAAATTTATGTCTTTATGTCTTTATGCTGTGAGACGATTATTTAGTTACTTGCCAAGCAGACAAGATTCAATGGTCAGCATTCACGGTTATATTAGGGTCTGCATTGTCCTAATGCCTTCGAAGCCCTGGAAATCATTGGGTCCCCAAAAGGGTCAGTTGTGTTCTTGTGTGCCAGAACCACGCTTGTCGTTTACATATGCTGGAATGGGCGAGCACGATTGGTGAACATATTCCCCGCATCCAAAAGTCACATGCATCGGCTGTATGAAAGATAATGTCATCATTGCTGAAAATAGCATTTTAAGAAATGCTCGACATATGCACAAAAGCGATGGCGGAAGCCCACTACATACCGATACTTTTCTGGCAAAAATGATGCTCTATTTCAAGATGGCATCGCTGTCCAACGGCCACACTGATTCAAAATCGGAATGCTACTTCTAAATAAATGCGAGGCAGCCCATGGCAGCAGTCTCCCTCCACAATGATTGCTCCTGTCCGTCAGACGACTGCACGCCACAAAGCTACGTCAGTTCTCCACAGTTTTGTAATGAGACACTATATAGACCGACTGTTAGACTGACAGACGACTGTATCCGTTCGCACCGTGCTCTACAAAAATTTCACATCCTGCCACGTCGTCCCTGCCACGGCCAGCTCTCCAGCCATCCGGGTCTCGTTCTGGACGGCGGCAGCGATGCCTTTGTGGCTGCCACAATGGCCGGCCTGTTCGAACCGTTATCTGACGGGTCAAGTGCACGGCACCGGCCTCAGAGGGCTCGGAGGCGAGGCGGCATAGAAGACGATGGATAGAAGGGGAGGAGGAGAGGGAGTAGGAGGAGAGAGAGAGAGAGAGGGGGGGGTCGGAGGAGTAGGTGAGGGATGAGCAAGGGATGGGTAAGGATAGGTGTAGCATAGGCAAGGATACGCGTGGGATTGGCAGGGGATGTAAAATGAGAGGCAATGAAAGAAAAAATGGAATGTGCGAGGCGAGAGATGAATGAATGATTGTTGTGTATGTATGAGTAATGTGTGCAAGTCTGAGGACGAGAAGAAAGAAAAGAAAAGAAAAGAGAGAGAGAGAGAGAGAGAGAGAGGGGGGGGGAGAGAGAGGGAGAGAGAGGAGAGAGAGAGAGAGAGAGAGAGAGAGAGAGAGAGAGAGAGAGAGAGAGAGAGAGAGAGAAAGAGAGAGAAGGAGGAAAAGACGTAGGTGGAAAGAAGGTGCACCTTCTCTCCGAAGAACTAATAAATAGCGCCGGCAGCCTTGTGCGTCATAGAGAAGGGAGAGTCGCCATCCATCTCCGGTATCGGCTCCAAGACGAGCGGACGAGTGATGACCCCGGGCGACTAGCACCGTTCTGAACGCCGGCTGATGCCGCGACCACAACTGAGGGTCAGCAGGCACACTGCCCACCACGTGCAAAACAGCACTCAAGGATTTTTTTATTCTAGGCGTAGGAGTAGGAGCCAATATGTCAATTTGCGCATTTTTGCAACCATACTTAAGAATTGATGAAGTCGTAGGTATAACCAGCCTCATTAATGACTTCCGGCATTCTTTTAAACTATGCAGCATTTTTTGCAATAGTTTCGCCCGTTCCGAGTCAGGTTGCCGTTCTAATTGTTTAGAAAAATGAATTTCCAGGATCTAAGCGCAGACTGTCAAGAATTACTAAGCAAACCCGCCTGAGTAGACCCGGTAAAAGCTGCCTCCCCAACAAATGCCTAAGCCATCACTTGCGTTTAAAGGCCCATGACAGGCATCATCCTGTCTGAAACCTGGACTACCGAATAAGAAATTCTGGACCAGCCTCACTGGTCGATTGAAGTGGCACGCAAGTTCCTTAGAGTGTGACGCAGCGCAGTTGAGAGCAGGTGTTCAATATTCATGCTGCGTTCTGGGCAGAAGATCGCTGCTGATACATTATCTGTCAAAGGGTCTCCGCTGCGAGTCATCCCGGGAATCTCGATGACCATAGCATACCAACAATATATTAATGGGCATCAAAGACCTCTGTTTGATCCGCAGTGCTTGGTAAGGCAGGCTGAATATGCGGCAGAAGTGTTCGGCCGCACAGAGATTTCGATGATAATGTGCTCTCGGCCATTCTCGTCTCTGATCTTGGTTGGTGTTGTACTGCATTGGCGAACGTATCTTTATTAAATGGTGACGATGAAAAGAGCAAGTGGTGCGCAGTGTGTAATAAACAACTGGAAATTAGGTTCATTAGATAGTTTTCTTGCATAGGTGGCTACCGTTGAAGCACGACAAACTTCACAACAAATGTATGTAGAGCATTGACCAGAAAAGGCACTGTGCTCGGAAAACGCCATCACTTACTGAGGGGCACGTTTTCTCTCGTGTTTATGGCTTTCAGATAATAAAACGATTTCTAGAGCGGCTGCAAAGGCTTGGACCAGCAACACTAATTAGAATGGAGTCAGGATGAAATGCATCTGGCTTGAATACCAATTAACCAGAGCTTTACAAAATGAAACACAACACTCCAATGCGAAACGCGAAATGAGCCTTCCAGCATAAACCACGGGATAGGGGCATGGTCAACAACAGTTCAGCTTCAATCGATACTAAATAACTAGTCAAATATAATCCCAAGCAGCTATCCTCAATGGTATTTATGTAAATATCATAGCGATTTTACTTCTAACACGTTTTTGTTACATTGTTTACTTTGTATGTCCCTAGCATACTTCCTCATCAATTAATCGGTCTCGTGAACAACGACAACACTGATCAATGATAACGGATTTTCATTAAAACCGATTGAATACAGTAAACTGTAAAGTGAAATGGTCTCTTTACGGTATTATATCGGCAATCAATAGGCTTCAGTGTATATGAAGCGTGATAAGTATGCAGATTGCAACGATTAAGGAAATTCATGAGACGTTCATTCCGATTATGAGCAAATTCTAAATGCACAAATGATCTATCAGTTACACAAACTTTAACCACACAATAAGGTCATCTGGCTAACACTAGAGGTGTACCAAAACTGCGTCTGAACGTGGCTAAATTTGCAGAAGAAACACATGCAATGAAAGCAATGGTCTTGTGTTCAGATTATCACAAATGACGAGGGTGAATTACGGTTGCATTTGGACTGACCTGAAGTTGGAGCACGGATGGATGATCCAGTGTCCTGCGGCCTTCTGTCGTATCCGCTCCTTCATGAGGGCCTTTTTCGAGCCGAACAGCTTCATGGCCAGCTTGTTGTCGGTGGGCTGGAACAGGTTCGACAGCTGGTACCGGATGAAGCCCTGTTTGGGCTCGTAGTGCGCCGTCGGCGACGTGGGCGGTGACGAGACTGTGGCCAGAGGCACGCCATGCTGCACCTCCTCCCGCGGCGTGCCGTACAGGCTACCCTCGTCCGTCAGACTCTGAATGCGCACCTTCTGCTCACGGTAGTTCATTTCGGGAGAGATATAGTCACTGACAAGTTCGCTGTCGTCCGCGGCCGTCACCAGCGAGTCGGAGGCGCCGTTGCCCTCGGCGGCGGGCAGCGTGGGCCGCGGCGCAGTATCGACGCCTTCGGGGGGAGGTGCCGACGGGTCGAACGCTCCGCCGCCGACGGCGCCCGTCAGGCTGCCGCCGCCGCCGCTGCCGAGACTGCCGATGCCGCCACTGCCGAGGCTACCTATGCCGCCGCTGCCGAGGCTGCCGATGCCACCGCTGCCCAGTCCGCCGCTGCCGGCGCCGGTGAGCCCTCCGCTGCCGCCGCCGCCGCCGCCGCCGCTGCCGCCGCCGCTCGCGCCGTTGGCCGCGCCGAGTCGGCCGTTGGCCAGCCGCAGACTGGGCAGGCGGCGGTCGCGTTTGAGCGGCGCGGGCCGGGCGGCGGCCGCCGGCGCGGCCTCTTCCTGCTCCGAGTCCTGCTCGCGCTCCCTGTGGGCAGAGCAGGCGCCCCGACGGGGGACGTTCGGTCACCAATGGCCGGTCGCCGAGCAGCGCCAACGACCAATCGCCACCGCTTGGCATTCGTCTCTTGCCAATCGGAAACCAGATAAATAGCGAGGGGAAAATGAGCGGATTCATTAGGGATGAGACATTAGGGTGGCGCCAGGCTGCCAGCGCGCGTTGGATGTGCGCCGGCGCCGGTGACCGGCGGTGACGTGCCATTGGTCTGTGTCAGAGCCCATGAGACGGATCGCACCCTGAGCAGCCACCCGAATATCTAGGTCCATCGGGTGCCGGCCACCGATTCTGCCGGACACCACACTCACCCGTTCAACTTTGCAATGTTTTTTATTTTAAACCTGACGTGCCTATGTCTTTTAACACTGTAGGTACCTACATAAACTATTCACTGGCAATGACCAGGAGTTGGCGATAATACTGGCATAGGATGGAAAAACTCCTTAGATGTGTTATCAACCAAACACAGATCTATCAAGACTGACAAAGAGATTGATGACATTAAGTCAAAGATAGGTATGCATAATAGTGTATAACTGGATCCATTGAATGTCAAACATAGGTAAATAACAATCAAATGCAGCAACATGAAATCAGAGCGACAGTTTAAGTTTACTCTGGCAAGGTAAGCGTATGAAGAGTCTGGGACGCGCTTGAAGGTTTCCCGGCCTTATTTGAATCGGAAGTGCAAAACATTTTTCCGCTACTCATCCCTAAAAAGAAAACTTTATGACCGTAAAGCGTGAAAACATCAATCGATTTGCGGGAGCTCCGTTGGGATACGATGTTTTGCCAGGTAACAGAACACCATGCAACCCGTCAAAATATTTTTACTTGATTTAATGAACACAGTACATAAGCCAAGTGGGAGGTCTGGGTGTAAAATACAATGCTCAAAAGTCGCAAAATGAGGGCTGAGAATAATATCATTTGTCAATATCGGTCGATGGAGAGTGTAACAGAAAAAGATGGGAAAGAGAGAAAGAGAAAGAAAAAGGAAGGGATAGACAAATAGAAAAGCAAAGAGAGGGGAAACGAGAGAGAGGAATGGGACACACGAAAAACAGATGCACAAAAATACAAACAGAGGCAAACGGAGGCGGCTCGAGATGAGAGGCAAGTAGAACGGCGATTTAATTCAGTTTGAGTGATAGTTAACCGTTGAGCATTTACAGCTTTTCATGGTTTTGCTTCCCGCTCGAGTAGACCACTGAGTGCACCCATACGCGGTCAAGTCTATGCCGACAATTGTTATGCAGCCGGTATGCTGTTCCGCAGCACGCGGCGGTACTGCGGCACAGCCTACCTGCCCAGCGAGATACAGCGGGGGACGCGGCACGAAGCTCGGCGTCCAACTAAAAATAACGCGAACCTCCACAGTAGCTGAACCATGATACTGCGAATATGTTAGCGATATTTTGACTGCAATGGGGCAGAGATACTCAGATGGTGTATCCGACGGTAGCTATTTGGTCGAAGTGAGCGTATCTTTACCGAGAAGCAGACAAACTTGTGACGGTCATGGCAGAGCGTTGCCGTTGTAATTATCAGTTCTTATTGCTTGAATCATGCAATATATGCTTCCATGTCGGTATCTAAACGCTGAAACAGACTCTTTCCGCATTCAGGAAATCGCATGCGAGAGCCTATTCAAACACATTTTAACGCTGCCTGCATCAACCGCATCGGGAGCCGGGAGGTGCGTGCGATTGATGCGAGCGTGCTTCCATGTATTTGAATAGGCTTTCACATGCGTTGACTATAGTTTTATCGCATCATATGTAGCTCTATGGAATAGCATTGCTGCATAATATCAATGGTATGTATACCGTTTTGACATATCTAGTATTTCCAGAATTTATTCACTTTTACTAGAAGGGTCAGAAAATAAAAATATCGTAAAGTGAAAAACTAATACAAATTAGCAAACAATTAGCAATATCAAGCCAATCGCATTGGAACAATTTCTGAAGTTCACAACTTGGTCAACGAATAAAAAAACTTCTAAAATACCAAACTGAAATACACGCTTACTTTAAGTACTTATTACGAGACGAAAAGGATCACAATTTCCTTATTCCGGATGTTACAAGAGCCGCCGACCACCGCGGACTTCGCTCCTATCCGTACCTATTATATGGATCCGAATCGCGACAACTAGGTACTGCAGCCAGGTGCGGTCGAGTCAAAACTTCTTTGGATCGGGGATCGGTCGCTGGGTCTGTGCCGACGACGAGTTGACACTCTCCATACCTGTTCGGGGATTGCGGCGGCGGCGGCTGCTCGGCGCTCTGTCCCTCCACCTCTCCTGCTTCCGGCGGCTCCTCCGCCCCCTCTGCCGGCCCTCTCACGGTCTGCATGGCCGGCTCAGGGTGCACATGGGAACAGACTGGGAGCTGCGGGCACGGCCAGCGCGGCCGCCGGTCCGTGGGTACCTGCTGCACCGACCGCCGCCGGCCGCCTACCGCCACCGACCGGACGAGACGAGAGGAGAGCAGGGAGGAGAGGCAGCGCGCGCGGCCGTCGATCGGCCGCCGCTCGGCCGGAGTTTATCTGCCTGGGTCGGCGGGGGCAGGTGTGCTGCTGATGCACCTGCCAGCTGGCACAGACAGCGCTGACAGAGGGTTGTCCGGGGACCGGGGCCCGCAGACTGGGCGCGGCGGCTCGCAGGCCGAATAGGCGGGCTCGCAGGCCGAATGGGAGGGCTTGCAAGCAGTGTAGAACGCTTTGGAAGGATGCTGGAACGGTTTGAAGTCTCAATGCACCGGTCTACTCTAAAACGGTCAAGCCGTAGTTAAAAGTCAGTCAGACTGTGATTTAAGGATGGGCCAGCCACAGTTCAAAAACAGGGTAGCCCTGGTTCGACGGCAGTAAGGCATCTGAAGCTGTAAGACGAGCCCACGGTGATTTGGAGGCAAGATGAAGTCGGGCTAGCCGCGGCTGGGAGAAGCGCTGGCCATGGCTCAGACGCAGACCGACTGGCCAACTCCGGCGGTCCAGCGGCACAAGGACCAGCCCTTTTGCAATATGAGGGCCATTCCGCCGGGGAATGGGCTCATTTCGAGAACTGCGGGGATGTAGAAAAGCTCTTCATCGATATCATCTCTGACGTCGACTTCAGCTAAAGTCAGATCATTTGCATAGAGACTGCAATAGACTTGAGATTATAATGAAATACGCCAAAAGAAAGTCAAGGCATTGCCGCAATAACTACTTGCTCGAAATATGCGTAATAGTTTTTCGATCTGCGCAACATTGTTTAGGTGATGCGTAGATAGTGGCCAGTGGGGTTAAAAAAACACACTCTTGGGAGGTATGTATGCAATTGCAAATATCATGCAAAATGCGTAAAATAATCAACTCTGCTCTGCTTATTTTCTTCAAATATGAAAGCCGATGAATGCAAAATTTGCAAAGGATGGTCCGATAACATAGGTGAATACATTATAGCTACTGAACTACATTTGCATGTTGCACTATTCTGGCAGCCATTCAGAAGAGAGCTGCTGTCGTCAGGGAGCGTGGTCTCCCGTTCCGAATGGACTATTTGTCTTCCCATCCCTTTCATGGCTGACATCCATGAAAACTTTTCTACAGTAGCGGTTACATCCGGGCGCTATTCTGCCAAAAAATGAGACCTCCTGGATAAGTTACAATGGTAAAGAGAGCTGTTTTTGAGCGCTCCATGAGGCATGACACCAATTCAACCTCTTGCTACGAAAACATGCTAACAGTGTTTGTTTACATAAAAGGTTGAATGACTCATCTGCAACTTTTACAATAAAACTATGCTTTGTTCAACAACGAAGTCAATGCGTCACAATTTAGAACATGCATATCGGTTATGCGTGCCACTGTCCTACAATAAAACTCGAGCATCGACTCGACTTTAGAAATCAGGATACGATCCTACACGGAACCACTAAACCGCTTTATCAAGAAACTTTCCAACTTAAAGCTGACCCTGAATTAAGCTCACAGACTTGTCTGTGTCAGGAATCTGCTCAGCGCGAGGACGGGGGGGGGGAGTGGTGGGGAGGGGGGGGCGTCGACTGTCATCTCCAGGGATCATTACGACAGCCGCAGTGCTAGCTCAGGTCACTAATGAGGCAGACTGGTGTCGCTGCGGGATCTCAGGTCGGCGCGGCGCTGTCCCGATCGGGGTGGCCGGGCGGCAGACACCAGCGGGCTGCCGGAGAAAGCGTGGGGGTGGCGGTGAGGCGGGAGGGGGAGGGAGGTGAACTTGGGGCATAGCGTCTGTGGCATGTCTTTTTTTCTCTATCTCTCCCTCTCTCTCTCTCTCTCTCTCTCTCTCTCTCTCTCTCTCTCTCTCTCTCTCTCTCTCTCTCTCTCTCTCTCTCTCTCTCCCAAATTCACACTTTTTTCTCTCTCTCCAACTCATGTCCTCGCATATGAAAACGGTTGTGAATCAGGTATGAGCATGCACATGGGCAATTTCTCCTTATTCTTGCATAATAACTATACTCAAGAATTTCCCTCACTTCTACCTGTTTGCCTCTTTTCCTCTCTTCATCTTCATGCCTCTTCTGCTGTTGTAATAGTTCCTTATACCATCTTCAAAAAGTAATCCAGATGGCTGTCGTCCCGTCTCGTTGTGGAGAACTCACAGTTATGTCGACATCCTCTCGTAGCGACGTGCGACTTTGATGGTATCATCGCCATGGCTGATAGACTTTTAGAAAGTTTCACAAGTGTTAAACTGAAAGGTCGGGGACGCTCTCCTGACCGGCATTGCCATGAAGAAAGCGCGGGAAGCTTGGCCTTCTGCATGATTCAGTGGTTCACTATATGTTACCTACACTATGCACCCTCACATTTTGTCGTTTGCTCGTTCTTTCTTATAGATGGCCACCATCCCTCATAGTGACACAGTAACCACCGTTGCAATAGCAAAAACAAACAAATATTTTTTGGCGTGCCATATTTGGAGGATCTATTCAATCAACGAATTTCTCTGTCATGACGGGGCCACTACCATGATTACTTTGCCGACCGTGAGATGACCTCTTCGCACGCTACCATCGTGTCCTTAACAGTTCGCCAGCTGGCCTTACTGCGCCCAGCGCGCGGCGTGTGAAGAGTTCAGGGTCTGGGTCGGCCCGGCGACTGCGCCCGATACGACTCGACGACCTCTGCTGATACGACCCGACGACCGCTCCTGATACGACCCCGCGTGACACTCCACCACGGTGGATGAGAGTGGCGCCCGACTGCCCGGCCGTCGGCACCGGCCAGGTTATGGTCGGATTGGAGGTGGAGCGAGGGAGCCGGGGTTAAAGGGGAAAACGGAGAGATGAAATGGGGAAAGTGGGAGGGACAAGCGACTGAGAATGAGCGTGAATGAAAAGAAAGCGTGAACTATATGTACCGAAAAAAAAAAACAAGAAAACTGTACACAAGCGAAACAAGTCGCAGATCAAAACTCAAGATGTGGAAAGGTGAAATGATATAAATAAAAGGAAAAGTGCATAAGAATGATGAAGAAAATAGAGCAAAGAAAGGTGAACTAGAGAAAGAATTAGTAAAATAAAGAGAAGGGAAGAGATAGAAAGATAGACGGACAGATAGAGAGACAGAGAGAAAGAGAGAGAGAGAGAGAGAGAGAGAGAGAGAGAGAGGGAGAGAAAGAAAGGGAGAAAGAGAGATAAAGTCTGGAAGAGAAGGAGTGACGGGAGATACATAGAAGGCGGGAGGGGAGAGCAAATAGCCGTTTGTTTCCGAGATTCCCTGTTTTACAACGTAATCCGTTGGAGTTCCTGGGACACCCCTGCCAGCCGACGAGCAGTCTCCCTCCCATCCCCTCCCTCCCTCTCTTCCTCCACGCTCGGAAACGCGATCACGCCCGGTACACGTGCCGCCCACGCCCTTCCTCCCTCTCCCTCTCCCCCGGGGCCAATGGGTTCCCTCGTATCCTCCATTGCTCCTCCCACGCAGCCGTCCCGTTTCCATGAACCCGCTCAACCGGACACCGGGAAGGCTCTTTTATTCTGTGGCACGACTTATCTCGTGCGCCTCACCTCACACCTTTTCATCCATTTGTCTTCTCCCTCTCCTCTCCTCTCCTCTCCTCTCCTCTCCTCTCCTCTCCTCTCCTCTCCTCTCCTCTCCCCCTCTCTCTCTCTCTCTCTTCTCTTTCTCTCTCTCTCTCTCTTTCTCTCTCTCTCCTCTCTCTCAATCCCTGCCTTTCTCTCACGTTTGCCATTTTCCTCTCCGATATTCCATCGTTCTCAAGCTTCCATTCATCTTCTGATTCTAACTTAGTTTCTTCGGTGCCTTCTCACCATCACTATCTTTTCATTGCATTGCATTCATATTTAACATTATATCACTTTTCGTTCTCTCATCCTCTCTCTCTCTTTCTCTCTCTCTCTCTCTCTCTCTCTCTCTCTCTCTCTCTCTCTCTCTCTCTCTCTCTCTCTCTCTCTCTCTCTCTCTCTCTCTCTCTCTCTCGCTTCCTCTTTCTATATCCGCCTCTCTCATTTGCTCTCGTTTTCTTCCGTCTCTCCTTCTCTCGTGGCCGCTCTGCCTCCCGACTCTGCCCGGAAGTCCGCTCTTCAAATCAGCCCGCTGCTGCCGCCGCTGCCGCCCGATATTTTCCGCCGCCGCCGCCGCCGCCGCCGCCCACTTTTCGTGACGTCAGTCGTCGGAGCGCGGCCCGCTGGCGGAATGGCAGATATGTCCCACCGGATGTGTCAGGCCGGCCACGGCTGCACGCGGCTCCGCAGCACGGCGGAACGGCACGGCGGTACGGCACGGCAGCGCGCCACGGGAGCACGGCACGGCCAGACCCCTGACCCGGCTCGAGTCGCCTAAATAAACGGCCGCCGGCTGTTTCGCGCAGCCCGGCGCGCCGAGGTAAGCAGCGCGGCCGTGTTTGCTGTTGGAGCGCCGGTTACTGCCGCGGCACTGACCCTGGGAATGACACTGGGCTCGACAGACATGAGTCAGACGCGCACCTGCTGCCGAACGCACGGCTCCGGCGCATGACAGGCAGAGGAGGCCCTCTGGTTTAGTGACGAGCAGATCCAGCTCTATTGCCTTTGAGGCCGGATGTTGGGAAGACACTGGGGCTTTGAAGTGAGTGAATTTCGCTTCGTCCTGGATCTTTGGTGAGATTTCATGAGGTATAAGAATTCATGAATTTGTACAAGCATTTGACAATCATGGGGATAGACAACTAAGGAGTACTGATGTTCAGTCTCGTTATGGGTGGTACCTGATTCCATCCTTGCTACTGAGATTCTTCTTTCTTGCTTTACTTAGGCTGATTAGGAGGCATTAGTGTTTATCAGTGCTTGATCAGGACCTTCTGGGAAACCGGTGCAAATGGTGTGGTAATTACTGCTGGTCTGCCTATCCGGGAAGGGAAGCAGGGAATCACAGTAGGAATGTGATCGGGGAGATTCCCCGACACCGCCCGCGT